CGCGCGTGGCCGTCTGCCCTGGGCTTCAGCCCTGCGCCGAGGCTGCGGTCCGGGTGGAGGTCGTGGGCCCCGGGCGCCGCCTCTCCACTGCAGTCCCGCCTGTGGGCCACTCCTGGCCCTTGGGGGCTCCAGCCGGCCTAAAGTGGGGTGCACGGGGCACAGGTGAGAGCCAGGGCGGGGGCTGCGTCCGCCCCGGGTGGTCCCGGGCGTCGGGGACCCCACGGCCGCCCTGCGGGCCCTGTGGAGGCCCCTCGGTGTCAGGAGGTCACACCAGGGGTCCCCTTCCAGCGCGCGGGGCCGCGGGCCCGACCTGGGGCAGCGTGGGGTCGGCGGGCCTGCAGTGGGGCTCCGTCTCCACCCGCCGCTGGCCTCGGCTTCCGCTCGGGACCCCGAGGAGGCGGCGCTGGGCGGTGCCCAGGGACGCACCGGCCACCCGGAAGCCGCTTCGGGCCTCCGGGCTCTCTGCCTCTGGCCTCTCCAGCCCCCTCGGTCCCTGGGAGCGGGGCCAGCGCCACCTGCTCCGGCGGCCCGTGTTCCTGCCCCGCCTGCCGCCCTGCCCGGCTGCCCCTCCCGCTTCCGGCTCGCTGGGCCCCAGCTGGCCTGCAGGGCCAGCACCCCTTGGCTGGCCCTGGGGTGTCTGCAGGCCAGAACCCGGAGCCGCTCCTCTGCTGCCCTCTGCTGGCCGCTGGAGACCACAGCCCGGGAAGCGCCGGCCGCCCCTCTGCTGCTGTTTGCTGTGGGCGCCGGCCTGAGGCCTGGGGCCAGGCAGGGAGGGCGGTGTGGTGACCGTGCGGGGCCAGCCCAGAGGCGGGGTCGCCTGCTGTACCTGGGGAGCCCTGCTCTGTGCTGGGAGGTGCTGTGGCGGGGGGCTGGGCAGGGGGAGGCGGGGAGGCGGCAGGCGGCCCCAGGGCATCCTCGCGCTAGCCAGCCGGCCTTGGGGCTGGAGGGCTCTGCTGGCTGCATGGTCAGCTCCCTGGGCCTCGGCGGCCTCACTCCCATGACCGCGGCCCGGGCAGCGTCCAAGGGTCACAGGCGTCTGGATATGGGGCTCCCAGCGGCCTCAGCCGGCCCAGCCACCTGCCATGGCGTTCAGCAAGTGGCGGAGATGCAAGCTCTATGCTTCTTTTGGTTAAAAAATAAGCCGAGTCAGGCACTCTGCAGTGTCCACGAAGTTGGGTGGCCCCAGCCACAGTCTGGGAGCCTGGCCACGGCGCCGCCCGTTACTGTGGAGAGATGTGGACGCTCGGGCCGGGCCCCTGGCCTTGGGTACAGGGGTGCAGGGCCGGGCGCCTGGGCTGTGGTGTGGGCTGGCGCGAGCGGCCTGGCCCGGAGCTGGGCACGAGGGGCGGCGGCAGAGGACGGTGGAGACTGGCCACGAGGGGAAGCGGCGCCAGAGAGGCAAAGATTCGGGGACTCCCTGGGGGCTCCCGCCCAGCGCCTGGGCACCCCCACGAACAGTGGGGAGCATCACTGGAAGCCTGAAGCCCCCGAGGCCCTTGTCCCTCGCTGTCCTGCGCCGTGGGGCACCTGCCCGCTGGCTCAGCCGCTACCGCCCGCTTCACCGGGGGGGGGTGGGCACCCCTCAGGTCGCACGGTGGCCGGCGCTGGGCGTGGGGCACCCGAGTGCCCTGTGCTGCCCGGGCCTCTGCCCCCGCCCTGCTGCTACAGGGGCCCTCCTGGGAGGAGGGCTCCTGGCTGCCCCGGCATGGGCAGGGCCGCCGCGGCCTCTCCCTGCTGGCCCGGCCCGGCCCGCCTCGGTGTCTCCTCAGGGCCGAGAGGGCCAGTGTGTCAGCAGCCTCGCCGTCACCATGGCGTCTTAGCAAACGGCCGCCTGGGCAGGGGCCTGGCCGCCGGCTCAGGTGGAGCTTCAGGGCTTGTTTGGCCGCCGGTGGCCAGGACAGCGGCCTGGCTGGGGTGGACGCCGGCGCTCCGTCCATGCCCGCCCTTGCTGGGCCTCACCCCTGTCCTCCCGAGTCCAGTGTCCAGCCCGAGGCCTGGTGCTGGCGCCTGTGTGTCCGCCCTGGCCCCGGCTCCCGCCTGCCGAGGACAGTCCTGGATCCAGGAGGTGGGGGCGTCTCCAGGTCTGGCCGGGCCTGGGTGTGTCCCCGGGGCGCTGGCCGGTCCCGCTGA